TTATTGATTGATAAAAGAATGACAGTCTTGATCACGTGATACCAAATTTAACAGGATTCAGATCGTGAATCACGCCTTTCTAGTCTTAAAGACTTGTGCACATACCTTGCGGATCCTCCAGATACTTTGAATCATTTCGTTGTAAATGATAATTGCATCGATATTTTGATAGCATGTTTTTAATTACTTTTCGTTTAACTGCTTTAGTGAATTTGATACTCGTTACAATACATGTGTATATTACATATCAGAAATTCTTATCAGGTACTGATCCGGATGAACAATTACAAGCAACTTGGTGTATCACAAGTATGTTTTTTCTACATGTATAAATCTGTATTAATTACTATAATTACTATTCGATTAATCAATGCATTATATTCCTTTAAATAATATTTGAAAGATATTGCCGCGGGTTCCAAGGAATTTTGTCAGAAAGCGTTTGCAGCAATCCCACATTTAGTTGCCTTTCTTCATGGTGACAATGTTGTAAGTCATATTGATTAACACTTTAATCTCACAACCTGTCCAAAGTATTATGTTTTAATGTTCTTTATTCAAAGTCGTTACAAGATCAAGCAGCTTGGGCAATTGGCAATCTCGCAGCGGAAGCCCCTGAATGTCGAGATTTACTTCGTGCAAACGAAGTTTTGCTTCCTTTGATTGAATTGCTTAACTCCAAGGTATTATTCATTAAAATGAATATTAATGCCAATGAAAATATTCTAATATTTCAATAATTAATAAAATGCAACATTATCTGATTTACTAAACCAGAATGTGAACCTTGTTCAGACGATTGCTCTTTCCAATCTTGCTCGTGGGCCGAATGCAAATTTGGATGAATTTTTCTCTGCGGGCATAACTCAGCATCTTTTGTTTTACCTAGAAGCTGAGGAAGTGTGTAATAATTTTTTATGTTTATGTATTTTATGCCTATTTAATTTTAAACATTTAGAATTAACAGATGAATGAAGTTGTCTCTGAGATTTCTTGGGTATTGACGTACTTGACCAGCTCAGAGGATGATAAATATACACAATTATTGTTGAAAGAAGGAATCGTACCACTTCTAGTATGTTATTTCAACAAACTTTAGGGGCTTTTTATGAGTTTGAAATAGACGTAAAA